TCTGTCTGTCTGTCTGTCTGTCTGTCTGTCTGTCTGTCTGTCTGTCTATATATATATATATATATATATATATATATGTGTATTGAAATTGAGAATTTAAAAACGATTAATCACAATCAGTTAGATGTAAATGTTTGTGCTCTTTAACCTATTGCTGCAGTTTTTTTTCAAACAGATGACAAATGAGTCAAGGATATATCACAATCCATCGGATTGATGAACTGGTTCTTGGAGTTGGTTAATGCGATGTTACTCAGTTCAGTGGCATCACTGAAAGCGCAGTTTTTCTTTTTTCTAGTTCCTCACCTTCAGCATTAATCACAACCAACTCCTCACTGAGGGCGTAATGAGGTCCGGAGACTCGGATGTGCTCCACCCGTCCATGCCGAGCTGATGGCGTTTCCATTAAGACATCGCTTTGTGAACCCAGACGTGGCCAGATGTTCTGCTGGGTTGTTTGGCATTACGTGAATCATTATTGACGCTCTTTCCTCATCTTCATTTACACATGATGTTTAAAACCTCAAAAACATTTTACTTTTCTGGCTGTTTACCATAATCCAGGCGAAATGTGTTCTATCGGTTAATAACGATGCAACACCCCCTTTCCATGAGGACGTTACATTAGACCACCGGAGCTGTGTTGATATTCCATTTACTTCTGTACCAGCGTAATAAAGAATTTGTACCCATGATGAATGGATTGGAACTGAGACTTGTATGCAAAGGCACCACCGCTGTCACTGTATGTTTTCTAAGCGGATTCAGCTCAGTCCTCTCTCACATGCACTTTTCCCCCCCCCCCCCCCCCCCCCCCCACGGCTTTCAGGTGTCTGCAGTTAAGCAAATGCCTGAGAGAGATTTCACAGCTGCTTACCTCAAGACGCCACACGAAAATGCTTTGCCTGCACTTCAGTCCAACCCAATAAACACAGTAAAATGGTGTTTAAGGACAAAACCAATGAGCCTGCGAGTATGTCAAAGGACCGAGCCTACCTAACACTTCTCATTTCTAAAAATACACTTTTCCCTCAGACGAATGTTCACTCTGCAGATAATTGTAGTCGGCGCAAAGCAATTCGCCTTTTGCTAAAGGTCACTCGATTCATAACAGCATGAGTGGCTATTGCTCGTTAGGAGAGACTATCACTGTCCCACCTAACCTGGCATGAGTCACACTATGCTGGCATTCAGATCAAACACCGCGCGGCCCCACTGGCCCCACTGGCTCAAATGCTGCTGCAGGGCCAGACTGCAGGGAGTTGTGATGCTGCACTTTAATGCAGGGATGAGAACTAAACTGAGATTTCTGACGGAATCCAACGAAGACATTGACACCAAGCGGAAAAAGAGAATTCTTGCCAGATGTTATTTACTTCAAACCCTTCTTCTCACCTGAAGGGAGGCATCGAATGTTGCAGAGAGCTGCTTAGCGGGTCTAAATACCTTGTGGCCATTTAACGCTGCGCTTTGAGGATCTCTATGAAGGAGAGAGAAAGACAGGCTGCTTAGAAACAGTGAGACACGTTGCATTGCATCTTTCACTGGAATGAAATGAAGGAAGATTTATTCACCTGCAGCATAACATCAAAAGCCATTCAGCGTATGCAGCTCTGTCAGTCTCATGGAAGCACTCACACCCAACGAGCATCAGAGAACTGCGAGTCTCTTTCGTCTTTTCACTTTATAATCAACAGTTTTTGGGGCTGCTGATTTGAGGTCTCCGTCGCAGTTGTTTTTTGGGGCTGTGCTGTAGCTCTAACGAACAAAGAAAAACAACTTCTGAGCACAAATGAGGACTGGGCAGCTTTGAGTGAGGCTGTGCAAATGGCCTGTGGTGCCGGCCTGAGAGCTTACGGTGCTGTAGTTGCCGTTGAGCTCAACAGGAGGAGCTGTTGACACATCACCCTCCTGTCATGGAGCCGTTTGAGCCCCCCCCCTCTCCAGTGAGATATCGAAATGTGCTAGGAATTATCTGACAACCAAATCAGCGGCACGATGGTCTGTGAGATCCGAGTGTTCAGAACTAGAATGCGGTCAAGCTTAACAAGATGAAGTCCCTCTGTGTGCTTTTAATTCACTTCCCGTGGTAACTGTTTATCTTGTTCCGGCCGCACAGAGGCGGTCATCCTCACACCTGCTCACTCAGGGGAGGACATGATAATAACCGGGTAGGGGTTGGGAAGCAACATGAGAGGATAAACTGATTAAGAGCCAACAAAGCCTTATGATATCCCCCAAAAGATGATGCCTGGCCAAAGATATCCATGATTGTAGCATTTCAAAGAGAGTCTACCTTAACTATCATTGCAGGCCTCGAATGTAAGATTCAGCAGAAGTGGTTCACGTGTACTGGCAGGAGATGCCCGAGGACAGCTTCTACAAAGATGGGAATTGTCTTCCGGTTGCTGGAGAGGTGAATAGCAAAGCTTTACTTTTACACACCTTGAATTGAATAAGTGATCATTTTTCTCCCCGTCTCACGGCGACCAGAAGGCAACAGTGAACGAAGAGAGGTGTTCATCCGGGACTGCTGCTGGATTTAATTAGTCTGTGTTTTACGTCTCGTGTGACACCAGAGAACCTACAGAACAACACGCGCAGGTTGGCACCTGGGAGCCCAGACGCAGGCACCTTCAAGAGAGATAAACTCCAAACTCCTCCAGTCTGTCAGTGTGCGGGAGAGGCGGCTTAACTGGAAGCAAACTGCAGACGGAGAGCTGCTGCTGAAAGACGAGGAGGCACCACATTAGTGTTTTGTTTGTGTCGGGGGGAGACGTAGCGAGTCGGGGAGAGGAGAGGAGAGGGCGGCGTGAGGAGCAGGCTGGAGTTTGTCATCAGGGATGTTCTGCGGAGATCAACTCTTGGAGCGTGGAGAGGAGGTGTAGTGATGCACAACCACGCACAGGCAATACTTCTCACAATTCAGCGCGCGCTGACAGGCAGACAGAAGCTAAAGACTGTGGATTTACGCTTCCTCATCCCCCAGCAGCTTCATTATCATAACAAATAAGTGTAGCGCGTCTTATAAGGAGCGTCGGCCTGATTTCTGCTCTCAGATGCTGCTGACTACAGAAAAAACTGCATTACAGTGCCAAGTAGTCACTCCTTCCTTATCATCTCTGAGGCCTACAGATTGCATGGGTTGGAAATCCCATACTATCTCCAAACAATTCCCCTCCGCTGACAGATTTAGTGCCTCAGACCCACGAAACCCTTCTTAGCGGTACACCTAATGGATACATGTGTACAGCTGCCTTGTAGGCAAAACATGCTCATTACTAATTATTAATCCGGCTACAAGGGTAGTATGCTAAGAAGTGTGCGAGCCCTGATTTGTCAAAAGTAAGTGACTGTAAGAGACTCAAGATTTCAAATGAGAGCAAATCACGCATAATAATAAACCTTTGTTTCCCAGAGCAACGGGGGAAGAGAGCGCGTCGCCAAACAGCCCAGTGGAGGCGTATTTAGAATGCTCGACTGGGCTTTCAGGGGGAGAACCTCCGGTCCTGGCAGTGTGAGCACTCTATCTGCTGAAGGTGGAGAGGAACAGTCCCATCAGTAGACGGCTGTGTGACTATTTAATACATGCATCCAGGCAGGCAGCACACAAACACTTTGGCTCATCCCACAGGGCACTCACACCAACAGCCTCGCCAATTAAACATCATTAACACAAATCCTTCGGTGTGCCTAGCCGCGTTTTGAAAGGCACAAATGTCCTTATGTAAGTTTTTCTAAAATCAGCCTTGGGTGCTGCATCAGTAAGAACGTGAAGCCAAGAAAAAACACGAGAACCCTGCAGAAAGAGGGAGCACAAACGCTCAAATAAGTCTTCTTTACATGAGAGTTGACAGGTTTAAAAGATTTCTACACAGCTGTGTGCCTCTCGCTCTCAGATCCCAGGCAGCTGCTCAAAAAGCAGGAGAAAAAAAAAAAAAGAAGCCCAAACTTTTTTTTTTCTATATTCAAATGCTTTTTTTTTTATCATCAAAAATATCATCCAAGCATTTACAGTGTATTACAACAAATGATTCTATGCAACTGCAGACATCCTTTACAGAAAATGAAGAAATATATCCATTTTTGATCTATGTTACAAACCAGGAACAGCAAAAAGAGAGGAGAGGGAGGCCGAGGGGCTCGAAGGATCCGAATGCCCGGGTTGGACCCCGTTTTCCTTCCTGATTAGCCCTGTAGACCCCGCCCACATTTAAACCACACAGAGTCGCATGTGGGCTAACACCACGCGGTGATCCAGTGGTAGAAACCGGCGCTCTTCCGTGTCTCCCAGGGAGTCAACGTGTCTAAATATATGTAGCAGACACAGAGAAACTCAAGAGTTCAGGCTCCTGAGGACTCCACAATCACTGGTGCCTGGCATCAACATCCCTGTAACCATGGCGATGGTTTTGTTTTTTTATGTCTCTGCCACCTACACGGTCCCTGAAACGCTCATACCATGGAACCTTCTCTGTCTGTCCTCTGTGTCCTTGTTCGGTCAGGTCCAGTCCTGCCAAGTCTAAAGGTGGTCCTACACACCGAGATCCAGCGTCCCTGTCGCCTCGTCTGCCCGACGTCTCTTCCCCCCCCCCCCCCCCCCACAGAAGCGTCGTGGGGCCCGGGCTTATGTGCTCTTGATTCCCTGGAAGCCGCAGAAGTTCCAGCGCTTCTCCAGGCTGGCGCCCACACCGCTCAGCTCCTGCCGGAAGGTGCAGGGCAGGCGAGAGAGGAGGGCCTCCACCTCGCCGGGGTTGATCTGAGGAAAAACACAAACGCGGGATTGCTTCAGACACATTTTCAGAAAAGAAAACGGCAGTGATGCAGGTGGTGCTTATGAATAACGATCATACGTTCAACAGAGACGAAGCCCTACAGTGTTTCATCACAGACCTGCTGCTGGCTCCCATGTTTCAATTACTTAGAATATGATATTAGCTATGTTTCCGCCCAACTGGCTCCATACACATTTTCCATTTGCTCGCAAAGACAGCTGGAAGGAAACGGAGAGTATGCGTGACATGTTCAGAAACCACATGGCCCAACGTTGACACACCAGCATGGAGAGAACGCAAACAGAAGCTGTAATATTAGCCGTTTGCCTTTTGTCACTTTCAGGCCTGATTTTTCATCCATGGTTTCCTCTCACACCAGGGTTTGGCGGCCACCTTTTAGATAATAATATCCTGTTGTGCCACATTTTTTTTAAAGGATTCTGACTGCCTATTTAGAACAACTTATTGTTCGTCTCCATAAACCTTAATGACCGCACAGCAGGGGTTGGTATAAGTGGGCATAAATTAGCATTTTTTCAACAACACTATTCTGTCCTCTGCTGTTTCATAAATCAGCATTATTATAACCTTTATTCAACTAGGAAAGTCTCTCTGAGATCATAGATCTCTTTTTTAATAGCACCTAAAACAGCCTCGGCAGAGTTGCATTACGACCACACGTAGCAACATGAGACAGATGCACAAAATCAAAGGTAAGACATCATAAGAGGAGTCCAAACAGGGGGCTCTTTCAGAGTGTGCACAAACATCCTCAGATGGTCTCTATTCCCTTTTGCAGCCCCCTCGGGCCTCTGTACAAAAGTGTTTGAATTAGCTGAGCCACATGCTTATTTGTTGTCTGATTTGGAAAGAGTAATTTGTGCTTTCATCTCAGCTGGGCTGGACAGCAGTCAGGGACTCTTTTCAGAAATGAAGGGTGAATACTAACATCAACAGCCAGTGAAGAGCCCTGCATATGGGAATTATATATATTTATATATGTATATATATCCTCATTGTCCTCTTAGGTGATGATAAGATTTCAGAAGTACATTTTCATGCATAAGTTGAGCTCAGAACTAGACAAGGCTAAAGACTCTGCCTTTACATATGATGATGTGCCCCGTTTCAGCGTGTCAGCATTGATCGTTTTACAGGTGAAAAGATGTCTCACACATCAAAACGATTAACAAACAAATGTAACACACGGACTGCTAAGAGCTAATAAAGTGACTTTAAGGCGTGGTCCAATTAGAACTCCGCTGAGCTTACACTTGCCGGAGTAATTCAAGTTTTTCTTCTGACTCCCTGCACATTCGGTAAGAATAAACTGAGATACTTTGTGGAAAGAAATAAACAAAAAGGTAACATCTCTCTAGCATAAAACAAGGCATAAGACAGCCGGGGGTTTCCCATCCAGTGAATGCACCATTACAACCAATCCTTGTCTCCTAAACACATCTCATTTTCATCTCTCTGTTTCTGCTTCTCAAGACAAAACCCGGCTCCCGTATTTTGACCGTGTCCACCAGGAAGTGTTTTCATCCTATTCAGCTGTGTTTATTTTCAGCAAACCCCTTTGAATTTTACACGGACACACATTCTGTTGACTAAATGGTTCTGATAGCCATGAAAAATTCTTGTCAGCCGCCACTGTCATCCAGTACGCTGCTCATGCGTTCACGCTCTGTTCTCTCACTCCATTCTACCTCTACACTGACAAACCATTCACTCACTTGAGTGGGCAGAGGATCAGTCAGTCAACTGAAATCCCAGCTGATGCTGCCAAGATCCACTGTACAAGCTGCCGTGGACTACCTGCGGTGTCTTGAATTAATAAGTAGATTGTCCGAGCCCTGTGCCGGTGTCAGGCTGCATTAAGGGCCGGCGTGGAGATGGGAACGCTGTGTCATTTCGCAATAAAGCAGAGAGTGTGGAGCCACGAGATAAGCAGAGAGGATTGGGGTTGCTGTGGGGGGCGTTCCGTCCAGAGAAACATTTGACAAAACTCCACTTCACGTTTGTGTGCGGTGGAGAATCGGCGTGGGGACGACAGATGCATGGGAAAGAAAATCAGACGCAGACAGACAGAAGAGCGTGGGCGAATGAGCCAACACATGAACGTACACTAGATTTCAAAAAAAGAAAAAAAAAAATCTTGAGAGAGTATCATCACACTTGCAGCATGTGTGAGAATGAGTCAGTATGATGAAGACAATATTCAGAGTTACAATCATGGACAGAAAAGGACTTGGAACTAGTTGTAGCTGAGGCAAAAACTTTTGAAAAAAAGAAAGATGACAATTGAAAAAAAAATTGAAGCAAAGAGGAGTCATAATTAATTTCAGATGTCTTATCAGAAAGACAAAAGCGCTGTTCAACAGCAGCTGGTGCCCGAAAACGTAAGCCGGCGGTCAGCTTCGAATGATTAAACGAGTTCTCCATTAGAGGAAGAAGTCTAACAACAAGGCAAACACAGTTGGACACAAAGCTGGAATATCCAACAGTACATTCTGAAATCCCAGTGCTTTTACAAACTGAACTTACAGAAAACTCTGACAAACGCTTCACTGAATTGAAATCATGACTTTGCCCTGAGCTGAGCTGCGATGGCAAACTTTTTAACCTCTGAGAATCAGCGGTCCAAGTGAAAAAAAAAAGCGACTACAAAAAAAAATCATCGGCCCATGTCAGGACGTCACAGCTGACAGAACCACAGAGGTTCTGAGCTGGTGGTCCGCTCCAAGCTGGTCTACGTCTGCCGTGCCGGTGTTACCGGGCATGATCTGTATGAATACTGCTTAGAGAAATCAACAAACGGGACTGATTCACCAGCGAAATGGGTTTCACCTGACATCACAGGCTGCCGCTGCCCATGTGGAAAGGCAGCTGTGACTGGGAGAATTAATGGTGCGGCGCATGTGCCAAATGTCACGATTTTTCATTTTTGCTTCCATGCTAACAGATTAGAGCGTGACAAACTTATCTCAAACTGATTGATTTTTCATATGTGGAGTCTGTGCTGGGGACGGGCCTTTTGAGCTTAGCTCACGGCTGGAACATTTGTTGGTCAGCAAAAATACCTTCCCCTGTATTTGTATTTTATATTCGTGGTATGTTACTAAGATGTTTTTCTTCCTCTTTTGTCTCCTAACAAGTTAATTGTATGTGACAAGTTGGGCATCTTTCATGCCGTCACTTTTTGAGTCATATTAACTGTGTACCTCACAGTTTATGGCTATAACAAAAGGCAGCACAAAGGCAGCAACCAGACAGATGCAGCAATCATTTTAAATAATTTTGATTTAATAAATCAGTACTCAGCAGAATCATGAGTTGTACTAATATTCATGTAGCACTGTTCTTTAGTTTATTCAAATAAACCTTGATATATACTGCTCTGTGGTTCAATGAAGGAAGCTGTGCTGAATTCTGGAGAGTTTTCTCTTTAAATATATGAAGATGCCTATGAGAGATTTCTCAAAGATTAAAAAACATTTGAAATATTAAAATAATATTCTGTAAGAAACAAATAATGCATAGCGTGAGTTGGTGAGCTGTAAGGTGAGTTTTACAGTTGGATTTCTCCCGCTGTCATAATGACACGACATCTCCAAGCACCTCTGATTGTAATGCAGACAGAAGCGCCATCAATCTCGTGCCATATCCTGGCTGGTGAGTGGGTCACTTCGTTTACTGAAATGTAAAAACATTTCAAGTGTTTTTGCTTCTAGCAGATCCATCCATCTCTTTGGAACGACTGCAAATATAATAAAGAGCAACGCTTCCACTGAATTGAAGTGCACAGCAGGATTCTGACACGCAGCCGGCCCACACTGTATCTGAGCTCTGTCGGGGAGCCAAACAACTCTGTACAGCGGGATGTGAGGCACAGGGACATTAAGAGCCAGCTTGGTTGAACTGCAACACAGATGAGGTTTTGATTCATGGGGGTGTGTTACCTTGGTGTCCAAACGCTGCAGGTAGGAGCAGATGTACTCGATACTGGCACCAAACGGATGGACGTGCAGGAAGGTTGAAATGATCCCTGAGGTGGAACAAAGAAGTCAGAGCTGTTAACACAGATCCATGGAACACTCTCCCATAAACCACTGACGGCGTTACCAAAGCAGTCATCCAACTCCTTCCCGCTTCCTCTGGCTACGCACCAGCTTCAAGAGACTTCGAGTCCCATCACTGTTAAGAATCCTCTTGTATGTTGTGGCTCCAGATTACAAGGAGTGTTTAATGACGGGTTTGATGCCGCCGCCTCTTATCAAAGCCTCACTCTCCCACAGCTCAAACAAACCATCTGCTCCAGCTCATGGTAGAGAGGAGAAGAGTGGCTATCCTCCATCTATGCTCTCTAAACACCCATAGAACAACATTTTAAACAAACCGCATTTTCAGCCACCAAGCTTTCCAAAGAGTGAAACACAACAGTCACTTGAGGGTTTAAAAGGTAAATTCTACCTCAAGGCTTCATGTTTGTCACCTGTAGGAGGTCAATCAATACTTCAGCACAAACAACAAGCTAGTCTGGAGCTGCTCCACAGAATGGGAGTCTAACGGTGCATTCAGATAGAACAAGTCAAAATCTCGCAGTGATTTATTTGCCTGACTTTGCCCACTTGAAAGGCTCATCTCTCCATTTATTTGTCCTCCAACTGAAAACAAGCTGTAGCAACACACACCTACAGATTACAAGTATGTGAAAGTTGAATAACTGTTCATTAACTGTTTAAATGTTTAAAAGTGGACAGGTCTAAGGCTTTCTGCTCCTATCACCAAATGAATTTTTGCAATAAACACTAAAAGCACATCTGACTTTTCCTTATGAAGAGCTATTTGAGAAACAATTTAAAGGTTCAGTTTGCACACTTAAACTCATTAAACCCTCTAAAAGCGAGCATTTCATGGGCTGAAGCAGTCGGCAGTGCAACAGACGGTCGTCAGCTTACCAACTAGCAGAGCTTCCCTCTCAGAGTGGATTGGACTGGACGGATTCTTCTCGGTGGGGCCTTCTTTCTCCTGACTGCAGGACACCACCGTTGACATTGCAGCTTCCTAAAAACAGGCACAGAAAGTGGCCATGAATAAATCTGCCACCATGTAAACAAACTTAGTTTGTGCAGATGTGTGCCACATCAATCCAGACGGACAATAAGGATAATGAGGCCGTTCGTTAGCCACCAGCTATATTTCTGATAGAGCCTAGAATGTCATAAACACTCACACTGACACAAAAAGCAGACAAACCTGAAGAGGACACATGATTAGGCCCGTTTGTTAGAGATCTCTGACAGGTAACAGGAAAAAAGGCAGGTGACTTTTTGCCTGTTTTACCCACTGGTGCACTGGACGCCTGATTCTCTTTTTCGGTTTTAATCTCTCCATAACACCCCGTGAGTGTATTTCAGTGAGCGGGATTGTCGACACATGTTCATGTGCGAGTCATTTTGACTTTATGACTCCTTTATTTCTGAAAGCAGTTGTGCCTGGGTGATTTATCTAACGACAGCTGCACTGAACCAGCGTTGGCCTGTAATGATCTGTCGTGTCAGAGGAAGAGGGCGGAGTGGAAACTCAGAGGAAGACACAGAGGAACAAAGAGGAGGGATCGCAATGACACAAAAAGTATTTGAGGGAGCGAGAGAGGACTTTTTTTCCACTTACGCCGGTTTGATTGGCTCGCTCCTCGCTGCCTCTGTCGTCTTGCTGGGACATCTCCATCTGTGGCACATGGGAAAAATATGAGGAATTATGAATAATACTCTTAGAATTGGACTGCGTTTAGGCACAACTAAATATGTAAAGGAGTTTGAATGCAAATAATGTTTATTATGCAAATACAGTCAAGAAATGAGCAGATTTGGAAAAAAAAAAAAACTAGCACAAGCAAAACACTGAACTCCTTATGGATACAATCGACTAACTTTGCGCCAAAACTGGCACAAACAATGCCCCTATTAAATATGTAACAGTCTGCGCCCTGATTTTTCTGAATATTTTTGCACTAATGATCAAAACGCTCAGCAATCAACAGCACATTCATTTCCAGCAAATAAACTGACTGATTAGATGTTGCATTCATTTATTAAGCAAAAAGGGCAAATAATCATTGGTTGCGGCTCATCAGATGTGAGATCTTCATTTTTCCTGTTTTATGGTTTTACAAACTGACTACTCCAGAAAACAGAGGCGACGCCTGTTCCCCTTTTTGAAAAAACTATTTGAATGTCTGTGAACTGAAAAAACAAAGGCAGGGGCATAGATTGTTTTTCTTTTTGCAGTTTGTAGGCATAATTCCAAACTTTTAGGTCAACTGATCCAAACTTTCCAAAGCACTGGTTTGTAATGAGTCTTCAGCACATTATGAGTTTCTTTAAAAATCACGCACATGCTCAGCCTGGGCATTCAAATGGACCTTTTAAGCCCTCATGGATGAGCAGACACAGTTTTTAAGTCCTACTCAGTCCGACTTAATATTTCAAATCAGGGCCTCTTTTGTTCTCAGGGCTGTACTTGTGTGTTGGACAGGCTTCACTCTATAAATCAGTTTCACTGCTGTGCATGTATACTGTGACAAAGACTTTGATAATGTTTTACAGAACCCATAAAAACTAGGCCATAGGAATAGTCGCAGAATAAGTTGAATGTTCAGAGGTTTCTGGCTACGGCATAATTGCAGGGATCATAGCATTGTTCTCTGAGGGCTTTTTAAGTGTTTAAGTTCACTGCATGTGTGAGGATCTTTTTTTTTTATGAAAGGAAACTTGGGATGGATCTTCAAAAGCTGCTCAGTTTTATGTCGGACATGTGTTTGCAATCCAACATCTCATCGCACTAAATGTTACCAACACCTTTTGCTTGTAAAAAGCGTCCATGCCGCTTCGTCTGTAGTTCTTACACAGATCTCCCTGCTTTTACCTGAGTTTTGGTTTTTATTAGTAACAGAAAGGAAGAGTCAAATAAAATAAACCACTGAGTGGCACTATTGCCAGTTAGAGACTTAAGCTCTTTTTAAAATTTGGAAACTTAATCATTCAGCTGACATCATCCTCCTGACTTTACAGAAATACCATATGAAGTCAAAGGACTCCCCTTTCGATCAGAAAGACCAGCAGCACATACAAATGAAGATCTAACGTGACAAAAACGACAGACACTTGTTGTGATCCTAATAATAATATCATGAAAAGGTTAATGTCTTCGCTGACCTGCGCTTAAAACAGAAAAGTAATGTGTGGTGACAGCTGGGTGACAGCGGGGACCGCGATTGAACCAATGAGGGAGGATTGATACCATGAAGAAATCTCTTCAACCTGACAAATCATCCCACAAAGACTGCTAATCTTCAGAGAAACCCCACACCCTAAAATTGATTTCTTTTTCTGCCTGTAATGAGACTGTCTCTCATGATTCATGTTTGGCTGCATGCAGGAATTTAATTAGCATATTTCCACCAGCTCTTGGTTGTAGGGACAGATTTGTAATCAAACTCATCACCATTAACAAGCTATTGACAAGTGTCCCTCTGAAGGAGGGATCTGTTAACACATTGCTAATTCAGCTGTTTGTTCTATGAAACACTCAGTGATCCCAGAGCAAACGGACACATAGAGAGAAAGACTCCCCGTGTGGAGTGAGGGCCCTTACTTTCTATTATTATCCAATTTAAGAGGTGATTAAACTGGGTCTCATTTTAATGACAGCCATTCTTCTCATTACACTGAGCCACAGGGTACATTAAAAAACAAACACCTCAGCGGTCGGGAGATGGGACAAGCCATGAAACATTAGCAAACACGACGTAGCTAACAGAGAAAAATGGCCCTTGAAAGTTGAAATTGTTAATAAAAATTAGGACTGAGCTGTGCACAACTGCAGTCAAATAGCAGGGTGTTATTAATATTAACATGAGCCACACATTCAGCAAAGAACGGGAGAGTGGTATCAACTGACTGTTTGGTCTTATATGACAGCTGAGTTTTTAACATAAGTGAAAACATCTTTGACAAGTCGTGTCTATTAGACAACAAAATTGTCCTCTTTTGTGTGAGTCCGTTGCAAACGCATCCTTCGAGGAACACTTTGTTTGTTCAGGAATAAGAGAGTGTGACTAAGTTAATGGTGGTCAATGTCACATAAAAGCACAGAGAAGTAAGGAAACCATTTGATTGCAATAAACCAAGCCAGATGTGTTTCTCATTAAGAGGAGATCAAGTTTGCTCTTGTTTGCTCACGCTCATGTTTCTTGGTGCGGTTTCATGATAGTATGAAGCTCAGAGGGGAGTCAACATCCTGTCCTGTAAAGGAGCGAGATTCTTGTACATTTCTTGTAAAAGGTGGTGCTCAGTGACAGGACTAGCTTTCCGACATATGAAAATAAAAATACTTTTTTTAAGAAACAAAATTGTAATGGAAAGAATCTGTGAATTTTCTGAGTTGAAAGGGATTTGAATATGCTCTGAGGAGAAAAATAAAAACAAGAACAACAGAAACAGTCTTTTCTGTCTCGTTTGGAAGCGAAGAAGACACTTCCACAGATGCTATTTCGGGACACCCAAATGAGCTTGAAAAGGGTTAAAACAAGTTCAAGCTATTGAGGAGTTTTCTCAAACAGAAAAACATATCAAACTATTCGCATTCTGCCCCATTTGTTCATTGATGATTTATTCCTTTCATTTCTTTCATGCGTTAAATCTTCTCCAACGTCTTGAACTAATTTATTTCTCATGAAAGTGCAGATTAGATTGTTCTGTTTCAACGGCAATAACCCTGAGATGAGCTCTGCCATGAAACGGCATAAACACGGAATCTCGACCTCGTCTCCGCACCTAAATGAAGCAGTGGTTCAGAGTATGTCTCTGTCTCACTGACCTGCACCGTGTGTGTGTTCTGTAGTTTCTGGAGACCCTCCTTCAGGTTCTGGACTTGTGTGTTCAGCTGCTGTTTGTCCTCCAAACTCTTTTCTAGTTCAGATTCCCGCTGCTTCAGTTCTTCCCTCATTTTTAACAGTTGCTATGTGAAAAAAAAGAAAAGCAAAATGAGGTTCCAAATGTACAGTGAGGTAATTGCCAGAAGAACAATGCTCATTACTTTTTAACATGCAAGAATCACACAGGAAATCTGAACATTGCATTGTTAAAAAAAAAGAAGAACAAACAGAAAACAAACCATATAAATGACAGATGCGGTTTAGAAGGTTAGAGAAATGCTGTTGCATTCGGTCGTCTTATTTCTTCTCTTGTGTTTGTCTAAGAGAGGCAATTTTCTCAATCCTTAGCTTGCAAATAGGAAAAAATGACGATTTGCACACATTATGACGGACAAACACAGTGAAAATGGTAACAATCATCTGGGTTGAGTGTCTTTTTTTTTCTTGCAACCTGAAAACTGCATGTAGTTAAGCTTCGAGAGTCAACCACTATATTTATCTCCAATTTGTTCACTGATGGCGTCTATTGAACACAGATAAAAAGTTTCACCTCCTGTAGAGAGATTTTTTTTTTCATTTTCACAGACACTGAGCACTTCGTTCGCAGGACACACTATCACTGATCAGAGAGATAAAAGGCTGCCGGTCCATGCTGATAGTGTTTTACTGAACATGTAAGGGACTATCTTGATACAACATGTGGACGCTGGTGGGGAGAGCTATCTCATTTCAGTGTCTTTCAGTTAATTTAATCCATTCACCTAATCTTTTCATAAACACACCATGAGAGACGCACGTTGGAAAGGTAATTACTCTCTGAAAGCTGAAACGAGCAGCGGGACCCTAATGGGTTCTCCTCTAAATGTGACTCAATCATTTTTTCTTACTCAAGACAGCTAGCTGGAAGTCCATTTAGAATTTTCTTAGTGTCTCAAAGGTAAATTTGAGGTTTTCTGACTCGCCGGAAACCACAAGTACAAGACCGAGCATCTCTGACCAGTAGAGTTATGCAACACAGAAAGCTGTTGATCAAACATACCCAAACAAAGGTTTTAATAAAAATCGAAAGGATTTGTGTTAATCTGAACTTTCTTCTCATTAGCCAGTAAATTTGATTTGATTTAAAGGTTTAAAGCAAGATTTTGTGATGAAACTGTTACCTCACTTGCGGTTTTAAAGGTATATTAATTGTAAATTTAACTAAAAGAAAAAAAAGAAAAACACAGCAGAAAGATAAAACTTTATCTTGACTTTTACTGCAGTAAATTGATCTTTCTCCCCTCAGTAGCGTACAGTGTTTTATCGGGAATGTTTTACTAATAATCCAGAGTTTCATTCAATCATTGTCCTTCATGTTTTTTTTATATCATATCTGCTCCCTGACAAGATTTCATCTGTAGATAATCTGAATGGATTTTGGATTTATTTGTTCTTTTTTTCGCCTAATCCTTTGCTGACCTACCTTGTTAGAGGTCGTCTGATTGCAAACATCAGGGAAAACAATAGAAAATCCTCTCCATGTTGTACTTTAATGGCATCCTGAAGCAAACTTTGAGACTTAGAGCACTTTTTCAAAGAAATGAAAAAATCCAATAGTCTTCATTATCTGTCTTAAAATACGTGACCTGAAACTATTTGGAGAGTGTTTTTTCCTTTTTTGTTTCAATGGATCTGCTTGCTTTTTCAAATCACAGAGAAAAACTCAATACAGGCATCTTTTCAGCCAGTAAATCAGGAAATTAGCCTTACATTCTGCATGCCTTGGAGAGCCTGCTGCAGGAAGCTGAGCTGCTGTGAGTGAGTGCTGTCCTCCTCGCTTCTGATTGGCTGGTTCTTGCCTTGTTCCTGTTTGAGCAGCTCCACCTCGTTCCTGTAGGCGTCTAGCTGGCAGCGCAGGGAGTCGTTCTCCTCCTTTAAGGCTTCGGCTTGAGAAACAGCTACATGTGTTGAACACAGGATCATATGAAATCTACTGCTTAGTGTGGATACACTACAGCAACATTGAACAGCTTCTCAAGAAAATGGATCTATTAGAGAGAAACATGAAGACTGTTAAATTTGATAATAACTTCTAATCTAATCATGCTGCTCCTGACATGGTGCTGTTTGAAAGATGCATGGTTCAGTACATCTCTGATTGTTCCCTGAGAACAGAGAACGTCAGAAGAAGATCTATATTTAGTTGTAGTTTATTTAGAAACCCGATGACACCGAAGTCCTAGAAAACTTTGCTCATGTTTTTCAAAGACTTAATTTTCCTCACAAACACAGCACAATTCACAGCTGGAGCTCTTCTTTGATTTGGATCAGCCGGATCACCAGCACAGAGGAATGAAATAAACATATCATCCCAATGTTGTTTTTAAAAAAAAATTCACAGGTACAGGCTCGTGCTAACACGCAGGGAACCATTAGAGTCTATGAGGTGTGAAGATAACGATTGCTGAGAAAACAATCTTCATCAGCAACACCCACTTTAAGAGCAGAGTGTTCTGAGCACTTCTTACTATTTTACAGGAGTTGCTGAGACACAAGGACAGCCACCTGTAGTCTACAAAAAGACCTGACATCTGTTTTGACATTGACACGGTTGAAATGACCATAACTCATGGTACTAACACCTCAAAAGCGAACAGAAAATAACTTTAGACTACGCGTTTGTCATATTGTTTTAGACCGTGTGGTGTGTCTATGTCAAGAAAAAGGGAATATATCACTCTAAACCCACAGCTCCTTACATTTCAGGAATGTATTGACAGTTGCCTGGTAACACTGGCGAGTAGCCTCACAACTGCAATCACAGCTGGGAGAGCGGCCTGGAGAAAACCTCAAAGAGAGATCTCTGATATTGTGTTTGGATCCAGCACTTAAATAAAGGAGCTGAATCCCAAGACATTTTTTCAAATCTCTGGATTTTCTTTTAACATTGGAACATATCAGTGCTCATATAAAAAAATTTCAAGCAGGAGGAATAATGTCATGTCAATATTCACCGTGTGTCTAAAGATTAAAAACCTGCAGCATATTAAAAATGACTGAAAGCTTTGATAATCCCTGTGTTCTGTCCTATAGCTTTCTGCTAGACGTCTGACCTGACCTACTGAGCAGAAGGACTAGACAGAGGGAGGCATTAATATATCATAAGACTTGCTCAGCTCCAGAGATGTCTGGTATTATCAAGTTGCACCCCTCCTGCAAAGCTAAAGAAGCTCTATGAGAAAAAAAAACAATACACAGCCTGAACAGGAGATAAGCCCTGTCCTGTGTGACTGTGTGTGTTGGTGAAAACGTATCTTGCTAGATGATGCGTAGGTGTTGATGAGTGCTGCCTGCAGTCTATCATGAAGGACCATTGGCAGCGTTAATGAACTCTTGCTAGGTGAGTGTGTGCATGTACGTGCGTGTGTGTCCACACTGGATGTGTTGGTACTCTCCGAGCAAAATTAAGGTTTGGGGTGAGGAGGGTATTGATCTGAAAGCCTCATCGGCTTGGTGTGAGGAGAAGTCAACTGCTTGACCAGATTCTATTACATAACAGGAAGCACTATCGACCTGCAGCCATCAGTGAGCCTGGATGTGCCGGACACACCCTCGAACATACAGTCACGCAGAAAGCGGCGCTTTAGCTTTCTGTTCCGCTCATCATTCAGACCCAAAGCATCTATTCACTTCTTATTTCTAAAACAGACTGCAGTCATAACACACGCGTCTCTGGCTGGGATGGATGATGTGCAAACATGCACCCTTTCTTAAAGGGTTGGTGAGTTAAGGGGGTGTAACGCTTGGTCTGTTAACAAAATACTAAGATGTGTCACATTAACACCCATCACCTCAGGAGCTCCTGCTGCATCGTGTGGAATGACAGGTCTTTGACAGCAATGCTAATTACTGATAGCTAAATAGCAAGGTTGCAAATGAGAAGGGGCTGAGCTGACTACTGCATTTGCATACATTTGCATGCTAATTAGAGATGCTGTCAAATTAGTAAATGGCAGGGATCAGACCGATTAAAAGGGAAGAAGAAAAAGAACTTGATGAAAGAGTAACGTGTGGGGAGGCACACAGCACAGGATGGCAGTTGACCTTACATGTGATGGTTTGTCGTTTCTCCATGTTGCCCTTGTGGCTACTCTAGACTCATGGGTTATTGTTATGGGCATTGAGAGACCAGCAACGCCGTTCCTTTTTGTTGCTTCAGCACACACAAAGAAGATTATGGCACTTAAGTTGTACCCCAACGTGAAGTCAGATGGCGGAAGGCAGATGCGCAAAGGTCCCACGACACACACACTTCTAAGTAGATATTTACCGGGGTGAATGATATTCAGCAGTTGGGTTCAAGATTAACTCAGGGAAACATGCACAGAGTCGGCATCCTGATGTATTTTGAACGTGTTTTTATTCATGCAGAGCTGTGAGCTGGTTGTCGGATGCTTGAGGTATGATCGCTGTCAAAGCAGCCATCTCCCTCAGCTATTCAACAATGAGTGCGCTCAACCTCTGGAGCTCTCCATCGGTTTATGTCCTGTCAAGATGACAGAAGTGTTGAACGGCACGTGCATACACATACCTGAGTCCTCAGAGTCCTTGCTGTCAGGTGCATCCTCCATATCATCATCAGACATCTCCATCTCTTCTTCTCGTCTGATGCCCATCAGCTGCTCGTTGTGCATATTTCTGATCTCCTGAAGAAACACAGACACAAACACACACACAGAAGAAAAGAAAAGCAGGTGAGGACTCACAGGCGGAATAAGCACAAGCAGGTGCTGAACTAGAGAGGGTACAATCATGAGTTAAGCAACCGCTTTTAACGTTAAAGGTAAGTATGAGCTGAGAGGATTTCTTTGAACGCAGAATAGAACAAAGGAAGAGAAGACAAGATAAGATGACATATCTCTGAGGTAGGGCTCTGTTCCTTCACCGGTAAGTGATGTTGCGAATACGCTTGAGTAAATATAGAAAAAACAGAGTGTTTTGTGGCAGACTTGGAGAAAAAAAATATGAGGGGAGAAACAGCACATTTGCTGTGCAGTAAACAGAGATGTGCTACTGCAGAATGTGTCATTCTTCAGTCTCTAACGACTTTTAAAGGGACAAAAATTTCAGACCAGCCTTCTAAAAAAGAACTAAAGCAGGTCTAATGCTCTGTTCGAAGAGTGAAGTGTCATCATGCCAAAAGCTACCCCAACCATTGAGGCCTTCATTAAAAAAATGTGAGACTTTAACTTAATCTTTCAGGGGATTGAAAATGACACACACATTTACAGATTTAGATAATTTGACATCTTCAAGTGCTTTTAAAGTCAGGCAACAGCTAATTTATTCAGAACTATCCAATTAAGATACTTCCATCAAAGAGCAAAAAGAAGGTCTGCACTTCAGTGTGAAATGGTTGCTTTCAACTATGATTACTGATTTAGCAAAGAATTCTCTGTCACATCAAGAAGTCTTTGACAAAAAATTTGACGTCATCTTTCTCTGACAATTGAACCGCAAGTGGGGCTTTCAGTGCTTTTTTAGCACACAGCCAAATCCACCAAGGGATGGTTCAAAAAGCTGAGAGCTATGGATGGCCTCAACAAAGTTTTTGAAAAGGCATTGAATCTATGAAAGCCCTCCAATATTTTGCCACTATACATGGATGAATTTTGCATGGATGAATGTTCAAAAACTGCAGGCTTCAGAGGCCATGGGTACTTAGATTTTTTTCTCCATAGAGGAATATGATTGTACTTGAGTGTTCAAGTATGTGTGTGCGCGATAGTCAGGCTTTGCTTAAGTTTCTGTACAGTCCCAGCTTTTACTACATAAGATATGTACTACACTGTATGTGCAAACAGTGCAAGTGAACATGGATATCCCTGTTTGAAATATAAAAAAATCAAAATGAAAACAAAAACAGGCTTATGAAAGTCTGAAGATACTTCCAGTTGCTCCAGAGTAAATAAACTTACAACCTGCCTGCTGATGTTATCAGACAGAGCCCATGGCAGAGGTCAAACCACAACTCTCTGACACGCACATGAAGAAACTAAACCAACCGGTGCACCGACACAAGCACACACACGACATAAAAACTCTGAGAGAAGGAAGCAGCTGTTGTCCGATTCTGCTCTGGAGCTACAGCTACTTCACACCACCGCCTGCTCCTTCATATTTCACCTCCTTGCACCGGATTCATACTGATTACACAACATGACTGAGAGGCTAACTCGGATGATAAATAGGCCCCAAACAACTGAATTTACCCACCTATTCTCTACTCTGGCTGCCAGCACTGCAGCCTCTAAGGCTTCTCTGTATGATCAATGTGGAAACAGACCAGCGTGAAGCCATATTTTTTATCTGGAGCATTAAACCACGCTTTTTGATTTGCACGGGAAAAAATCCTTTGTGTTGAACCAAACATCACGGCACCCACCTCAGCAGCTCCCCACAGCTTTTCTGACACTTAAAGCCCATTATTATGGTTCTCTGACCTTCACACAGAATGTATGGTTGCATCTCCCAGCTCTTATTGCCTCTTCACATATAACCAAAGGCAGTGGCTCTCAGCTCAGACAGGCTGAGTGCATTCAACAATAAATGACAGAGGGCAGATGTAAAATAGCTGGTGAAGTTATGCAAGTGCATGTGAGACATGAACATGTTTGTCATAAAGTGCTGCAAACCAAACAAACAAATACAAATGAATATTTGGCTTAAACCCAACCCAAAGTGTGCTGCTGAAGACAGAAGATTTAGAAAAAAACAAGAAACAAAATGTAATTTTGAACACGCTGTTGCACTTACTACATCCAACAGAGAAAATGACCACTTTTTAATATTTAAAAAGCTTCATATCACCTGTTAAATCGCTGGGTTGAGGACAAAGTTGCACACTGCAGCTAACACAATAGGGAATATATAAATCTATTCAACACCAGAGTGGTAAAAACTATGAGTCAACACATGATGAATCTGTGCAGAGTGCAAAGTCAGAAACAAACATTACTGGCTTCTTCCAACAGTCATTCAATTATTCATATCTTTGCTTCTTTGACTAAGCTGAGCTCTTTTACTGAGATATTAAAAGAAAAATAACATGAATAGTAAAAATTAACGCTGAACAATCCTCTTTCTGAAAAAAACAAACATACTGCAACAGGTGAATCATTTAATGGTGATTTAATGATGACTAATTTAATGATTTCAGAAGAGGAATTTTTTTAACTTCCTGAAACTATGTACATCTAATACACAGTGAGGATGCTTCAGGGGTAAACACACGTTATCCATCCTCCTTACTCAACAAGTGAGTGTTTACAGGCCTTCATTTGAGCTATTGCTTAAAGAATACATTTGTTAGCACGTGCAGTGGATGTGTAAAAACTTCAGATTGATCATTTTGAAAATTTTTCATCAAAACTGAGGGACACTTTTGGACACCTACCTTAAACAGAGGTTTTAGTACGACATGACTGCTGCCTCTGCTGCGTCACACTCTGCTGCGATTATGTGCGTGTCATAATACGACGCTGAATTGCACAATAATGAGTTGTTTTTCATACTGAGGTTCAAAGAAACTTACCAATCAAGATATGATCATAAATGGTCCATTAGACCCAGGACAGCAACGCACTCCAGACCCTCCATTACACACAATGCATCATCATGCCAATTAATGTTCCATTTGGCAAAGGGAGAAAATGGCAAATAGACAGTGGATGACAAAAGTGCTGTTTGAAGGTTGAAGGTTTCAAAATGCATATGCTCTCAGGTCTCGAGAGTCTTAATTTATGTCGTTTTTATTTAAATACCAGTTGGGGGAAGGTTCTAACAGATTTACCTGTGACCGGGACATCTTACCAGATGGAAACACACTCACCTAGCTGCTTGTATTCCTTCAGGAAAAAGGATAGGGGTGGAGGAAGAACAGGGGGAGGAGTTTGAACCTCTTTCCATTTCTGTAGCTCACACTGGCTGCAGGCCTCTGTTGTGTAGCCTTGCTCCTTTTAAGGTACTTACTATAACCATGCTCCGCAGATTTATTCATAACTGACTGAGATCATTTCCTTTTTTGTAACTCTGATTTTATATTAGAAATACTGAAAATATGAGAACTATAAATAAAAAACTTAAGTTCTTTACAAAGAGACATATAGGAAACAAAATGGAAGAGAGTCTATCCATAACTTGTGGAATCAAGAGAGTGAAATCAAAGTGTACCAACCTCTACTTGTTTGTGCCACATGTCCAGGTTCTTGCGCTGAGCTTTGGAGAAATGGTCCCATGCCTTTTGTTTGGAAGCAGCTTGGAATACAGACACAATCTGTTCAACTGTGGCAGGATGCAGGGAGGGACCAGAGACCATCCAGAGACAGAGACAGAGAAAGACAGAGGGCAGCCGGGAGGGAGCAGAGGAGTGAGAAAGTGGAGTCAACTAGGGAAGCAAAGAACTCTGTTTGTCTATGTGTGTGTTAGTAGGTTCATGGGTGTATATGTAGATGCTACTTACCAGCAAATGCAATTGCACCATCTTAAGGTATTTGACACATTTCAATGAATCAATCATTCATAATTTGGCCCAGCATACCATGACACAATAACTTCATGCAGAATATAGTTTGTTGTATGTTGATGCCACATCAGCCATTACTGACTCTGAACAGCCACAAATATATAACTATAACCTCTTCAAGCCTTGCGGTGTGGCTGTTCATTATTTGTCTGACCAGCACTGCCACATATGGATATCCTGACACATACAAAATAAACCAGAATCCATTTGGACAAAGACTTGTATTGACTAAATATGATTTTTTTTAACACAAAACAACAGCACTTATTTTCACATAAGTATCATATGGGAAGGAAGGTTTACGGCTCACAAACATCAACATGTTCATCAACAGAGGCAGAGCAGCTTAATTTTTCTGCATACATTTAAAAAAAGATAAGCTTCCTTAAACTGCATAAATGATTTTCAGATTTAGCTCCATGTTTCCTGCAACTGAGATATATCGGGTTTGCTCACCAGCTGCCAAAAATAAGCTTTTCTGAGTCTGCCACTGTTGACCACAGTGCAGCTCCACTGCAGAGGTGGGATCTTAAGAACCTTAGCCAAGGACACCGTCTTACTGCAGTATTACAGTGTCCCCGATTACTTTTCCCTGTGCAGAGGAGGAACATATACTTCAAGCTCTGCTAGTTAAACCTTTAGCCCAGCTGTCGCTACAAAGTCACTTACCGTGTAGAAACTTAAGCCTGGAACTGAGTGAGCTTATTTGGGTCGGAGTGTCTGATTAAGACAAGGCGTAACCTTCAACACAGAGGACTTCACTGATCCTATATATGCTGGGATCTGCTCTGGGCTCCAGATTTTAAACTGAGTCAGTCCCATGTCAGCTACCTACCTTCCCTACTGTGAGAGGTCATGGAGGACTGCACGGATGCTCTGTGTATTTCAAAGTCCTAATGTACACAGAATGAAGTCGATAAGTTTGAATGAGTGTGGGTTATCAGAGTGCTGAGAGGCAGGACAGTTCAGAGATCAATAGTATCTTCCCAGCAACCTTTAATTTGATGAACAGATCGATGACGAAAGCAAAGAAGACAGGCATGGCAACAGAGGCACGTTCAGGCCTGCACACTCATATGAGAAAATATTTCTGTGCTCTTTTTGTTTTCAGTATAGCAGAAAGCTGAGAGCTTTGTGGACTATCTTAAGCAGAGAAGTAAAAGTAATTTCTCGAAAAAAATGTCTTCAACATTTGAGCACCATAAATTAAATTCTCTGTATTTTACTGTCATGAGTTAATGAATGCTACATGTCAATATCTTAGGAAAGACATGCAGTACAAGACACAGAAAAAAGGTAAAGTGTAAAAGTTTTGAGACTTTTGTGACCCGTTTTGTGGGTTTTTCAAAAGAAAATAAAGACACTATGCTTTTTGTGAATAGGGACAAATGTGTAGCATCCCCCGTCCCCCCCCCCCATCCACAGGGAAGAGGTGCTGAGTTAGGATTAAAAGGACACACGGAAGGAAGACCACACGAGAAAGACGGATGGAATAATTTAGAACTGCTAATACAAGGACTGTAGTTCTGACCACGTTTCTGGCTTACCGACACACACACCCAGTCTCTAGGTCTCATTAACTTAATAAACAATGTATGAGAAAACAACTGAAGACCGTCCTTAAGGAGGTTTACATTTGATTTAACATGTATGTGGTGAGATGTGTGCAGACAGAGTGCCGCGGGCTGTGGTATAAACAAGCCGCTGCAGAGCCAGAGCTGTCAGAGGCTTATGCTGCAGGAGTGCAATTTTTTGCCTTCAGCCCTTCAGGAGCCTAAATGAACTGAGCATGCATGTACTGCACACACGTGACCTCCCATTGCATTAAGAAAAAGAAGTGTTGTGCTACAGATTTGATCTGATGGCAACTGCTGCAATGTCCCACTGCAGTCATCTCCTCTGTTAGGAAAACTGATGCGTCGCTCTGACTTTAAGCATATTTGGACGGTTCTTATCACCAACAGTAAGACTATCACTGGTCAATATGGACATTCCCACAACTAGGAAATAAATTTCACTTACCGTTACTTGAACCTTCCATCAACAACTTACACGGACACACAGTGGATTGTGTAGCTCTAATGAACTTAATAATCTTTTTATCCACAGCGTGAGGGTACAGTATGTAAGAAAGTATGTAAACTTACTACATGAGATTGTCAATGACACCATACTTACTTTTTACTGGATGCACATACTCCAGGCACATGAGACCAGTTTAGCTTTGTTGTGTCAAGCTATAAACTACGGTGAATCACTGAACCACAGAGAGCAAAGAAAAGTTTCTGACTGATCTTTTCTGCCTCTTCTCCTGCCCTGAACACGCACAGCACAACAGGGAGATCTGCTGTTGCTGCCGATTTGTCCTAGACAAAACTTTACTTTCAGAGCATGCATTGTGTATTGCATCATACAGCCAGCTCTGTAGTGTGTGGGATGGCTGAGACTCACATTGAGTCAGTATGCCGGCCAGAGCCGTCTTGAACTTCTCTTTGGCCTCCTCCATCTCCTTCTCGTGCTGGCTCTTCTCGCTCATAAGCCGGCGGATATGGCTGTTGGAGGACTGGATCATGGAATAGAAGTTGTTGGCATTCCTGCGGTTGACTTCGCCTCGTTCCAGCCAGGTCAGGAGGACACGCACTGCCTCTTCAAATTTGCCGTCGTCTGGCCAACACACGGGGACAGAGTGAATGACACAGTCAGCCTCTACACAGGTAGGCAAGAATCCAAATGATACATCCTGTACAGTCTGATGAGAAGCAACAGGCAAAGGAAAACATGCAGAAAAGCATGCTTGCAATACAAAGCACATGGAACTCCACAGTGGGCCTTTTAGTGGTGATGACAGTTATATCATAAGATATACAGCTAAGTACAATGAACAACATATGGCCTGAGCTAAGGATAGCTAAAGATATCTAGGTTGAATTTGACTTTTTATTTTAAAAAAGGAGGTTTAGAGTGAACAACATTTATTAAAAAGAATGTATGAATGAATGAATGAAGAATGTCCTAAAAACAGCTCCCCTCTAACTGACAGTGTTTTTGTTAAAGGAAAACCATCATGGACTGAGATGGCAGCTGAATGGCAAAAAAAGGGAATAAAATATATTTACAAGAGCTCTTTCAAGACAGAGTGGAACTGAGTTTGAAGTGCAGTAATACAACCTGCAGTAAAAACATCCAGACCTCTTTTCCCTTCTGGGTAAACATTCAGGGAAAGGTAAAGTAAACTACAGCAGCCCAGACTGATAAAATAAAAAAAATAAAAAAAATTGTTATAAAACCAAAAAACAATACAAAAAAAGGCTCCGTTTGAGTTCTGTTTACCGAGACCAGGGTGGGGAGAGCTGAAAAAGACATGCAGATGGTGGACAGGAAGAAAGCCACAGCCATGTTGTTATCAGGCAAGTGTGACTGAGACCTGGAAGTGCCACTGCTCATTAGTGAAACAAGTTTATTCAGCCAGAAACCCAACAGAAAGCTGAGAGGAGAGAGAAAGAGAGCTAAGAGGAGAAAATGGAAAAAAATGGCTTAGAAGTGGAAGGACAAGATAAGAAGGGAGCATGTGCAGCGGGTAGGGTGAACTGATACGCTGTGTTCAACAGCCTTGTGTAACATCTTTGGAGAGGAAATTCCCAGAGTTTGTTAGAGCTGAACAATAACCACGTCAGAGGTACATGCTGCAGTTAAGGACTGTTTCTGTGATACTCCCAGAAGTCACACCAAGTCAGATGACTCCTTTCCAACTGATTACACTGATCAAGATATTAGATTTTTTTTTATTTCTACTCTCATTGTAACAATTCGATGAAGGAAAATTCCAAACTTTATTCACAAGCTCCAGTCCATATGTTTGTGCGACCATATTTCGCTGCATTTGCTTCAAAGGTTACCAGCAGCCATATCTACCTTTGATCTTGTCACCCAGCTGGCTGCACTCGTGCTCAGAGTAGTGGACAATGGGCGGGGGGGATGGCGGTCGGAGGCGATCCTCCTCCATCTTGCGCCTGTGACGCTCCTCTCTGGCGAGCATTCGCTGGTGACACTCCCACTCGTACAGGTCATCTCTGGCCTGGGCAAAGTCCACGTGAAGTCGACCAGTATCTTTTTTGTCTGTGCTGGAGCCCAGACGGAGTCGGTATCCTGTGGAAAAGTTAGGTGCTTACATTAGAGAGGCTGTGGACGGTGCTGGGATGTAGAAGAAGTTCATCAGTTATATTACAGATAGGTAAAAATACTTGTATTCTGATGCTGAATTAATTGCATTTCTAAACGCGTTGCCAAGACGATGAGAACGTTTTCTGCATGGACGCTATATGAACGCTCGCCTCACAACATCAGGCTTTTTATCCTTTTTCACACCATCATTTCAAACTGGGGCTGATGTGCTTTTGTTGTCAGCTGTATTATAAGGTACAGATGTGCAATGGGACAAGGGTTGGAGTTGATGCATCGCTGAGCTGGCAGCCGAGTAATAACTAAGGGAAAGAAAAGGACACAAAAAGAAAATAAATGGCAAACATCTCTGATCAAATTCTAAAGTCGTGCTTGCCTGGTTTTCATCTCTGGTCTCGGCCGCAATGCAAGGCCTGAATACTTCTCATTTTGACGGCTGCCAGTTTCACACGTTGTGTTTACTCCAGTTTCCTATTATCAGTTATTGTGCAGATATGTCAGAGGATGGTTTCACACCAGCTGCCACCCTATCTGCGCATTGTGCGTGTGGAATTTGATGATTTCCACGTCAGCCAGAGCAAACTGCCTGCGCAAGACATTTATTCAGCCTCTCTTTAAAACGTAGCTGCTCTGGGAGGCATTCCAATATTTAAAAAAAGAAAACATCGGTGTTTATTCAAATAAATCAAATTGGTCCTCTCTTCAAATCAGCACTTTGCAGCACACACGAATCACATCGAAGGCAAGGCTCACTTACGATGGCGGTGGCTTTTCCTTACAGCCGGGCAACCTTCACATCTTCCTCTTAAAATCACATCAGTCATGGATTACACAAAACGGTGCAGCATGGCCATTATCGCAGTATGTAGATGACTTTGTGCATGTGGTAGCTGTGCTGCAGCAGGGCCGCAACACATTGTCAACCACGATGCAGACCACACTGCTGATGTGAAGCCTGCTACTGTCTTAAGCGTTTTACACTGCTCAACTAATCCAGAAAAACACAAAAAGCGCAACACAACCTCTAAAAAAATAATCCGAGGACTCACAAATCATTTTTAAAGCTGGTGAAAACATGACCTGAGGCACGGTTTTAATTAACCTGAACTGCAACATATAGGGGGAGAAAAAAGCCCAAATTAGTTGCTTTTTGTTTAGATTGGGCAGTTTGTCCATTGTGCTAAACTGTTTTATTAATGTATAAAACAGACTGCTTATCTGGGTATGCTTATCAATCTCTTTTATTGCTGCTCTCACTTAAAAAAAAAAAAAAAAAAAAAAACTCTTTTTGTTTGAAAAAAAAACATAAAAAAATAAATGTAGCTTCAGGTTATTGTGCGGCACAGAAGAGCTGCAATCTTTTGTCAATACACAGGAGAGGCTTAGAGAGGCCAATTACTTTACTGGTGGCACTGAAAGACCACAATATCCATCATTAACCTCTCTTCTCCTCTCCACTTCCATCTTATCTCCACTTCAATCTTCCTACTCAATTTTCACTTATGGCCAGTTGTGGATTGAAGTGAAATCTTGCTCATTTTGACATCTACGGCAATTAGTTAGAATGATCAGAGCGTGTGTTTGGATGCAGAGAAGGACGAAGGGGGTGCAGTGGTGGATCCAAACACAAACAGGGAAAGCGACGAGTGAAAGTTCAGGAATTTCTCCTTCAGTCCACTCTCTACGCTTCAGGCTCTCAATCTACCAAGACTCCAATATTTCATATGTGGTGATGCTGGTGTGTTGCAGCTGCCTGAGTGTGTACCGTTGTGAAAGGCTGTATGTACAGGCTGTGTGTTTATGTGTGTGTGTGTGTGTGTGTGGGTGGGGTGTTATTTATGAGGAGAGTGCACAGGTCTGTCATCGCTTTAATATATGGACCCCTGCTCCTACATCTCACTGTATGAATAGAGGAGGTCCAAATCAAGGAATCTCTCATTCTTACTTACTGTCTTGTGCACATGATGCTTACTCGCTTGTGATCGTTTGCACAATAATGGTGTGAATGCTTCTAAAATGGCTGCTTATCTCAGTTGGATTTTGAAAGCAGAATTGTGTAGACATGAGTTTGCACTGAGAGACTGATGATGTGTGTCGGTGAAAACAAATTAGATAGGAGCACAGGGGCTGCATGGTTAGGAGAAATCCCTAAAATCTATGTTAATTTCTTTGTTCTGCTGTCTGACCACTTTAAGTATTAGATCGTATTACTATCTTCTATTACAAATATTTTTCGAGGGGTTTGGAATAGGAAGAATCTGCAGCTATTTCTGTTTCCGAGTGCTCTTATTACAATCTCCTCAATACTCAGCAATATAGGATTTGGCTTTGAGGAGAAGCTATCAGTTTTGATGATCATACTTTTGAGAGCTTCTGAAGTCCTAAATAATCATATTCCTACCACATAATCTGGCAAACATTGTTCCAGTGAAATTGAAATCCAGTCAAAGTTTACATACATACTGAAACGACAGCATTTCAGTGCATCATCTTCTTTGCCTTTCAGTCTGTTTGAAGCACAACTCAAGTTGCTATCAGCGATCCAGACTGCAGCTTTTTTAAATATGTTAACTAAACATATTCTGGCAGAGCAGCTTTTCTATCAGCTGGGAGAATCTATTGACCTTCATGACCTCGGACTTCTCCAGCCGCCACTAAAACGATATTTTCCATTTAAAATCAGAATGGGCGCCCTTTGGAGCTACTGGAGTGATATTCTGTGTAACAAAATGAGTAACATACCCGAGCATTAAGTACCTAATGAATGAGATGGAGAAGTAAGAAGGGAGTTGTGTAAGCTTACCAGATAAGAAGAGAGCCTTGTCCACGGTAAACTCCTCTGCAAATCGGATGTGGCAGAAGTTTTTCTTGCTTTTGCGTATAGCTGTTATATCCCCACACTGTCCAAAGACCTCCATGATGAGCTGCTCAGTGGCGTTCTCCGGAAGACCACCCACAAACACTGTCTTACACCCTGGAGGTCGCTCCCTTGTAGCTGGAGGGGGTAGGTCTGTTCAAAGGTAGCAGAGTGAAACAGGGGTGATAGGGTTACTCCACTTTTGAACCATTATCAGAAGATTCATTTTGTTTAGATCATATTGGAAGGGAGATGGAAATGATCATTACTGATGCTTGGTGAGAAGCCTCTGCAAGAGGCAGTTTATCACAATTTTATAAACACAAATTAACCTCACATTTAAATCTCTGTTAGACTTCACTGAAAAATGTAGCTTCCTTTGGCAACTTTAGAAAGTCCACCCCCAAAAAATCCAATGTTGGAATGAACAAACTGAAGATTGAAATTCTGGACACTTTTCATTTTCAGATAAACACATCATAAACATAATACCCACAACTCCAGAATTGACTCAGCTTTCTGAGAAATGTGAAATTAAATTTTGAATATGAATTATTCTCTTTGAGAAAAAGGGAAACAATAAAAGGCCCAAATTGTTTAATTTCATGTTTTGGTTAACAAGTACTGCAGGCTAAGTTTCATGTCTTTTCTCTGATAGAGAAAAATCTGATGAGAAAAAACGCCTTTTGTCTGAAAAGTAAAGAAAAGGAACCATCTAAAAACAGTTTATTTCTTTACCATTAATGCAAAGTTTGAAACCAAATTATTTTCATATGCCATCTACTCTGACAATTCATCAATGCAAAACCATTAAGTATGAAGACCCATTATAGAATGTTCACTTAATTTATAAATAAGGAAAATAAGATGGACGGAATTAAAACTAAGGCTACTGATAAAGAAAGCATCTGTATCCAATCAGGGACATGGAAGCCACAAGGGAAATATGACAAGTAAAACCCCAGAAGGCTTTTACTCTGAAAGTGAGAATAATGCGGGACCAAACACATTCAATGCAGAAGAAGACATTTAGTTTTCATAAACAGGCCAGTACTGGAAGATGAAAGTGCAAAATTTAATTAAGACATGTTTAAACACAGCTCTTATGGCCTAAAAATGTTAAAGCACGAATGCATAAATAATAATAATTTGAAGCGAAATGCTTGGATCAGTTTTTTGTTGGATAAATGTTGAAATCAAGTTATTCCAGGCATGAAAATAAAATCCTTTTGGCCAGAAAGTGATTGCATATCCTCTCATGTGGAAGGTCCCCTGCACTGCATAAATCACTTATCCAACACAGATGAGTGTTGACTGATCTAATCTCCAATAGATCAGGCTTCTCATCCATGATGAATGTGATTAGAGGGTCTATGAGGAGTGAACCGAAAAATCAGTGGAACACCGAGGATGCTGCATTTCCAAATGTCTGTTCGAGAAGTTTATCATGCAACATTGCAGCTGCTCTCATCCCAGCAAATATTCATGCTCGATACTGAAAAGAACAGAGCTGATCGTCGCTCAATACCTTGCACGTGTAGTACAAGGGCCACAAGGGCAGAGTGGAGCCATTTCCGTATCTTTATACGTCCTGTGCAAGTGCGACCGGTAGGACTTAGAAACTAAGACTTTGTTAGGTGAACTGACAGCAGAGATATGGACCCTTCTGGTTCAGGTTTCTAACGTGTTCTCTTAGCGGTTGGATTAAAAGCAGAAAAAGACTTAAACTCTAGATGACTTTAAAAAAGAAACCACACATCACTTTCTAAATGTGACCGTTACATTACGCTTAAATGTAATGGATGTAAGCATGTAATAGAGTAAAAAAGCAGTGGGAGAGAACTCTAAAACACTTAAGCGAAAAGTTAGTTATTTCCAAAGATTTATGAGCGCATAATCCCTCCTGTAAGGACTGCCTGTACTTTCTAGCAGCTCTCAGTTGCAAAGAAACCCGTCTCTAAATCCAATTTATTTTCCTCCAACCTTCTTTGAATCTTCCGTGCTAACACATGTTGGCTATCAACACATAACCATGGCTTGGCTTCCCCTCTTCATGAAACAGAAGTTCTAAGGCAAAATGTTGACTAAGATTGAATGCCTTGACCTCCTGTGTAAGAAGAGTAAAATAGTTTGGAGTTGAGATAGACAGAAAAAGCAAAGGCTGGTCAGAAAATGCTCACCATAGCAAGAAAAAGCTTTGCTGGCAGATAGAATAAAGAGTTCCAAATGAACTGACCCTTTCCAGTCCACAAATGGCTGATAAAGCAGAGTGGACACAGAGAGGAGAACAGATGCCCTTGCATCATCTTCCCAATGTGCTGAAAATCAAATAAAAGTGTTTACTGCAATGAAAAGTTATGGTTATTCTATCTGGTAATTGGGTGGGAGATATTAAAACCTAGGGCAGGGTTTGCATTTTGCTATTTTCTCAGCTACCTGCTGTGCTGAATCCCCTCGTCTGTGGAAATAGGCCAATTTATGCAAATGCCCCATAAAAGAGATTCAGATAAACTATTCGTGATTTTCAGATTATAATAAATTAATTATATCACAAAAAGTATGTCCAAGTGATTGTATTTGCATACAAATATGATAGCAGGTAAACGTGAGGGTAAGAAAGGCAGGAACAGGATGGAGGAGCACCATTTTCAGCATCCTGTAATGCCTGTGGTTTTTGTTTTTTTCTACCAGTCTTGCAACCAAATTGTGTTAGCACACCGATAAACAAAGCATGGCTCAGAAAAGGAAATGTAGATCCCCCCTTCAATCAATTTAACTTCACAAACCAATCAACCAAAACATTACGAGTCCAGACAAGTGAGGTGAAAATCACTCAGTATATAGCACCCGGCAATGGGGGGGGCTATTAGTCAGCAAGTAAACATTCTGTAATTGAGTTGTTAAAAAATGAAAGGTAGAAATAAACAGAGATGGTTTTGCAGCTTGATGAAACCATCTCCTTAACGACGGCTTCTTTAAGATGTTTCAGGTCCACTGGGGACAGGACCTTCAAAAAGCGGTCAAAGAAAGTGAAAAGCATCAATCCTGACAGGATCACTGGCAGCTTATGGCCAACAAAGCTGGTACTGTGTGATTTCCTGTAACCAAAAAAAAAGTGAATGTCTGTTCCAGTGGGAAGATGTGAGACCCCACAGGATATCACAGTATTGTGCCAATAGCTCCCCTGAAGCTGTGATGAATCATCGGATGAATCGTGTTGTCTTTAACATCATGTGGATTGCTGGGTCTGTTCTAATTTGGCTCGTGTCACCTGACTGGATCTCGTGGTAAAAGGGGGATGTCAACCTAAAAGGACTAAAAATCACATTTTCACAACCTCAAATAAACCTGTTTACTTTGTTTGCGTCACAATGGGGATTTCAAACTCAAGAAAAGCACAACCCTACACACTTTTCATTTGTTCTCAATTCCAAAGTTCTTATCTCTGTTAGCCGACTTACAGATGTTCTTTTTAAAGTCACTTCCATCTGATTGTGGACACTGACGGGCTGAGCCTCCATTCTGAGGCGGGCAGTTGCCTTTTTAGAAGCAACCCGTTGCAGGACCAACTGGCTTGTGTGGATTTAATCTTCAAACTGCACTCCAGTTGTGAAGAATAGTGTCACTTAGAACATTTTAAATCCAAAGAACTGGGAGGAACGAACACAAGTCTTTAGACATCCATCTTTATCAAAGCCAAATGGAGTGTGGAGGTACATCATGACACAGTTTGGTTAATGCTTTCATCCTTCAAAGACAATAAAGCTCCTTCTCAGACTACCCTCAGAAGTTTTAGGAAGAGAGACCGGCGCCGCATTGTTTGATGTCCAAGCTGACAATTGTAGTGAGTCCACAGGAGCAATGTTGTACTTCACAAAGAATCTAGAGGAGAGAGGGGAGGGGGGGGATAAGCACAACACCACTTCATCTGAGTGGGTGGAAGTGGTGGAAAGAAGGTGAATGTGTGTTCAAAGCTGATTGCGGGGGATTTGAGGAAAATGGAGGAAGCGATGAAGGATGATTTTCTGGGCTGCTGTTCAGCTCTTTGGGTTGAGCGGATGGCCTACGTTCGGAGGCCTGGGTTGGATTCTAGACCATGGCCCTTTCCCGCATGCCTTCCCCTCTCTCTGCCGCCCTTTCCTGTCCTACCACTGTCAATAAAGGCAGCGTTTTTAGTTTTTTTTTTAAAGAAAAAGATTTCTAGAGGATGTACATATGGTGTGCTGAGGAATGTCACACAGAACAATAAGAGAGAGCAGAAGGAGGGCTGGGGGGGGGGGGTTTCTTCTCAGCTGCAAAGGTCAGTGAGAGAAGATGAGGCCCGCCGTGACAGTTTGAGAGCGCGCAGCCAGAGGGTAGAGACGACGTGTGATGGACACCGTATGGATGCAATCTGGCTGCCAGAACACCAGCGATTTCCCGGACTTGTCCGCTGAACGCCTGACCACACCAGCATAGGTGCTTGTCCCACTTTGTCCTCCGCATGCTGCACGACACACCAAACAATGAGCACTGGCTCAGAGCAGCTCTGAGCAAAGCCAGGAGGTCCCACCATTCAACAATCAAGGGCGTTTTCTTTCAGGGTGAGGTTTTAAAAGTTTGCTCCATATGTTTTCGTAAACTCACATTGCACTGCAAATTTTTCTCGAAAGGCTTTCTCTGCATCCTTACAGTTGATCCTTGATACCACTATTTTGCATTTAAGTGAAGTTTTGACAGCATGCGGGATGAAATAATAGCTTAAAGCTGTCATCAGAGTCTGGCCCACCTGTCTGCCCTGTCCCACGGGGAGAACACAAAGCATATATTTTTCACAGAAATCGATCTATTGTATTTAAAAAAAAACTCTTTCCCTTCAAGAAAATATTTATTTGCAAAACATATAAGACAAAACATTTGTGCATCCTTTCTAAAGCCACATTTTCACTTGGCAGCAGAAGCCACTGAAAATGTTTCTGGAGTTGGGGCACATTTGATATCAAGAGGGGATTTATTCCATCTATGCTTAGCCATTGCTGCTTAATCATTAACGGGACTTATCATATATATTATTTTGCTACATTGTGACATTATCTTGATTCCTCATGGCGTTCCCATTACATAACTGTGTTCCACATCTCTGTCCAACTTATGCAACATGCATATTCAAAATATAAGAAATTCATTACTTTTGTTATTTCTGCACTTTTGGAGGAGGGCGGTGTGGTGGTTGGCACCATCACCTCAAAGCAAGAGGGTTCCCAGTTCAAGTCCTGAGGGGGGTACTGGAACTCTTTTGTGTGGAGTTTGGATGTTCTCCCTTTGTCTGCGTGGGTTCTCACCGAGTACCACCCATAGAATACTAGGATAGCCTCCAGTCCCCCCACGACCCCATTTGGGAATAAGAGGTTCAGAAAATGGATGGACTTTAAGAGGATTTTATTAAAGGGGTTTGATTTATTGAGAGGGTGCTTTTGATACTTTCCACAGATTCTCTTTGTGCTGTGTTTTCATAGTGTATTTACATCGAAAAACGTTCAGCAACAATCTGAAATCTCCACTCAGAAGAGGCGAGTGGACATGTTAGGACGATGCTTCATTCTTGCCCCTTTAAGCCGGCACAGGGTTATATCAGACACTTTCAACTTTTTCCACTCCATTATAGAGCAGAATAAGGAGATGGCTCTGTTTTACTCTTAGTTTCACTTGTGACAAAAACCATTACTGTTAAGTGCAGCTGTAAGGGTTCATGTTCCAGAAAAGTTAACAGACCTGCGCGGCAGCTGCAAATCAGAGGCGGAGTTATGCAACCCCTCTTGATATTTACAGAATATGAATTCTGAAAGGAGCTGCAGACCTCAAAAACACAATCCCAAGTCATTAAAAACAAACAATCAAGCAACCAAGATTCCATTTGACTGCGATTTCCTCAGGGAGGAAAGATGTGAGATTTTTCATACTTTAATAAGAGCAAGGCTGAACTCTAGACAGTTCTATCTTTTAATGCAAAATATCTGGCTGTGGGATTAAGAGTTTGAAGAAAACAGCAGAAAAAAAATCGTAAAGATTGTGCAGATCGGGGGGGGGCAAAAAAAGGGAAGAAAGTCTTAACATGTTTGCATAAAAGGTCACAAATCTATAAAAGAGGGATTGAGGCAGGCTTTAAAAGTAAAATTAGGTTTTGAACTGTTTTTTGTCTCTTTCCTCCTGAGAACTCTTTGAAATAGCTTTTGGGTTAATTGTAAATCTTCTTGTCAGGTTTTCACTATATAGTATCAGTTTATGATGAATAAAGTAAATTCCTATGAATATTTTAAAAAGGTTTATAGGTGAGGTTTAAAGTGGGAAAAAACAATATTAGTCTGACAGAGTCTATGAATGCATGCCTTATTTTCAAAGAAATGTTAACTCCCAAATGCAGCTGAGGTGAGAAGCTTCTGTTTTATTTCCCCTTGAAGGTAAAACTCAACGTTGTTTGGAAAAGAAAAAAGTCCCCGAGCCGAAACTTTTCTTGTAGAAATAAATCAGAAAAGCAAAATCGAGCTCAATCAAGGGACCACCCCCGATGTCTCATCTCCTCAGCTGGAATAATGAGGAGTCTGTGGAGAAACGTGTATAAAACACCAGTCTCCTATGCACACCTTTAGTCAGTTTACCCGCTCTGACTTGGCTGGAAAATTCCAGCTTGGGAGAAGTCTGAAGAAAATTTTAATAAAAACCTTTGACAGGAAATTGTAGAAAACACAACCCCAAATCTATTCAGAGATGAATCAGTCAAACACATGCAGATGCTGAAGTCTGAAATAACTCACAGAGTCACTGTCGTATTTATTTCAGCGTTGAGTGAAGAGTGACGAAGGAAAGGAACGCCAAACTGTTATTTTCCAAGCTCAAGAGTCATCAGCTTCGATTAAACCAAATTAGCTTTTGTTATTTTTATCATTTGGTTGTGACTATACAGGGATTTGAAGGTTTTTATAATTTGGAAATTTAAAAATGTATCATTTTCAGCACTACTAACTTATATAAGAAGAAAAGTCTATTATCAATTAATAGTTCATTGAAAATCACGAAACGAATGAATACAACTCTACCTAAGCATATACTGAAAGCCATGAGCTGTGGCCTAAGGATAGCTGATAGAAAGGGCCTTCTAAATCCTCATTCTGACACAGAGGCAGATGAGTTTTGCAGTTTCATTGGGCGTTCACATGAGGCGTTCTTAAAAGTAAGCGCTTAGTGGGAGGAGCCTGTGAGGGAGCAGCATGACACCGGGACTTACTGGGGTTTGGAGGGAACAGGGTGCAGCTCTTGCAGTGGATGATCTCTTTAACTACCGGTATATCCTGGGAAACGGGCGCAGGCACCATGCCGAGGCCGGGCATCATTGGGTTCATGGGGGTAATTCCAGCCATCATGCCAAGGTTGGGGTCGAAATCTGGAGGCAAGAGATAAATACCAGTAAAATGAGACAAATCCCTTCCTCCGAGAGAGGCGACGCATACTGAATAACAATGAGCTGTGCCGCTTAAAAAAAAAAAAGTTCAGATTTTGGTGGGATACAACTTCAGGCCATGGAAAATCTTTTAAGTTCCATTTCGAATGGTGTGCTTGTACTCTCTGTGATTCTTCTGTCAACATCCGTGACACTCTCGCAGTCTACACATCATGGAATACACAAGCGTTCATGAATAAATCATATCCAGAGGAACATGCATATTTTAGTAGTTTGACATCGTCATTCTTTCTCCGTCAACCCTCCAGTCTGAATGATGAACTCAAAGATAACATGGTTACTGAGAGGATTTCTGTGCAATGTGGATTTACTCTTTTTGTTGGGAAAATAAGACATCATCTCTAACTATCATCAAAAAGTTCCAATAGCCGGACGTGTTTTTTCTGTGCTATCGCTGGAAGTTTTTGAAGTGGAAATAACAACGCATCCAGTAAAAGTTTCTGCATTACCGGCAGAGGATTTAGATTTGACAATTATGCAGGAGGACACTTAATGCTTATGCACCTGTGCATGAGCGTGCCAGAGCACTGCTCACTAAAGCAAACCCTTTACTGGAGATGAAATGCGCATCACAATTAACAAAGCGGGAGACAAAATCGTGTCACATTAAGGTGGGTAGTATTTGCAGACTTTGAGGCGCAGGATCAAAATATAGCAGGCGTAAATAAAAAGCAAACATGTCATGAAACTGCTCCTTTAGCCTGTTTGAAAATGTGAAACTGTGTTCTATTTAAGATGACAGTGGAAAGTTGTAACAAAGACACTAAAAAAGCAGCGCCTTTCATGAATTTCTTTGGCAAATGAAGTGAGTTTATCCAAGGACAAACTGTAATTTTCAAGTTGACTGAACCCACCGAAGTGCACTACCATCAGCAAACCAGAAAACTAAATGAGATTCAAATGCAAATTCCACTTAATTCCAGCAACAGATGAGAAACCTTTACAGTTTTTATAATATAAATCACAATACGTGTGACACACAAAACACACTGTAGAAATTAAATAAGATCTAAGGGTCCAATATAAAAATATTCACATTCATAACTTTTCATTTTTCTACATCAAAGCAAGTTATTGGCCGGACAACCCGACTCACTTTCTGTTTTGGTGTTACAAGACCACCGGTTCCTGTGAAGACGGGGTGAATGAGACACGCTTCCACTGTCTGTGTATTAGCTACATTAAGTCTGCCTGCTATGAGCTGGAGAGGCAGACAAGTGCACCATAAATAAACCTCAACAACCTCCTAGCGCGAACATGGTCAGCAGAAAAACAAATCAATATCAGCGTATGTGTTCATTACATAAAAAAAGCGGGCCTTTGTAGATGAACACGAGATGGCTATCATCAAAGCCACCAGATTGATTGGGGGGGAGGAGATAAAGAAAATCTCATCAAAGATTCGAGTTGTTGATCTTCAGCTATTTTCTAGGGTTAATATAGATTTAAACTAAAATCCCTAAGTAACTGAGCAAGTGCACACAAACACAGGACGCTATTCCTCTCAAATTCACTGCGGTGAGAGACAAAGAGCCATGCAACTTATTCAACTTTTTTTCATTGTTGTATGGTTTTTTGCATTCAAATGTCGAAGCAATAGTTTTGAAGGCCAGGTTTAGTGTTGTTGGCATTTCATCCATTTTTTAATTTGTCTTGTGTAATTGTGTGAACTTTTAAATGTTCTTCTGTCAGCTCATTTGTGCCATGACCTGAAAATTAGCATAGGCTTATTTTCAGAGTCCACTCAGGCCTTTCTGGTCTATATTTCTTTTATAAGAAGCAATGAAGTAATGAAAGACAATTTTTGGGTCATAAAAGACATCAAAGCCTGTGCAGTATTTAGGTTTTGAATCTTATAAGATAAAATAATCTTATAAAATAAGATTATTTCTAGATAAAATGAGAGCGATAAGAATCATGAACAGAGAGATCAGTGTGCAAGCTTTGATTGTTTTAGTCTTTGGCAGTAACTCTAGGAAACAATGGCTTTCATACAGTACACAACATCAAGTGGAGATGTATAATATAATAATATAGCATTTACTGAAGAGTGATTTGTTTCAAATACACCGTAACGGAGAAAATAGATGAATATAACAGCACTGAGTAAGACATGAATAGAATTAAGACATGCACATGATCAAAGACACAGAATAGGTCCCTGGAGCAGGACAGGATGTAATGAATATGTTTGACTGATAAAATTGGCTGGAGGAAATAATTGAGACCTAGACAGAGAAAAGAAAAATATAGACCTCGAAAGAAAGAAAAAAATTGCATAGAAAGTCATACTTATAGAAATTGAATCACAGCTATACCTCCACTCATTATGTCACAATCAGTGTGAGTGTGACTCAAGGTGGGAGGAAACTGGTGATAAGCACCCTCGTTGCCAGGCGATTGATGAGTTTTTCCACATTTAAAAGGAAGATGGAGAACAGGAAAGAGGACAAGAAACAATGAAGTAAAATGTTTTGCATGGGAAAGGACAGAGGAAAATCAACAGCAGTGTGAAGCAAAACCACACTCAATGTTCTGGGAAGCTACAGAAGATAAATACTGTGGCAATACCCTGAAAATCACATTGTCTGATAAACCAAGGCTCTATTGCTTGTTTGGTTTAAAAGGGATATATGCTTGTGAGCTCCTATGCTGACGCGAAAATAAAGTAGATTTTCGGTCATATGGAGAGAACGATCCGGTTTCATCAGGGTGCTTTTTCACCGCAGAGCTGCGGGAAGAGAGTCATGGTGTGTGTGAGTATGTGTGTGTGTGTTCGCTGTGTATTTATCCCTGGCCATTAAAAGCCTGAGACTTGAAGCGAGTATGCAGCAGATCCGTGTGTAATAAAGGAGATTATTTACTTCTTTCCAAGCATTTCCAGCTCCCATCTCCATTTTCAACAAAATAGCTGGAGGATATGTTTCATCACAGACAGTCAATTATTTCATCCCCCTTGGAGCGCACCTCATAATGATGCTTACTGTAAGTGGACACAGACGAACATGCTTTTTTTCTGCCTAAATAGATACGCATACCATTAAGTTTTGCTATTCTACTCCAGACCTGAATTTTTTAAATGTTTGTGTTCAGAGTAAACATAAACCCCTTTATACAATACAATGAAAGCAGACACAATCCAACATTTTGCATTTTCTCTGGCTCCGATTGTGGTTTCTACTGATGCTAAATGTAACATCTGTAACAAGTGTCATGACTGGAAGGTTTCAAATGAACCAACGTGAGCCAGAACAAATGTCAGCATTTAGTTTATTCTCATTTGATTCCAGTTGCTGATCGGAAATAGAAAATAATCATGTTATTAAACTTTCCTTTTGGAAAACTTTGCGTTACATTAGGTGTCCTTATGCTTAAGAACACCAAGACCAATGATGTCAACTACAACACAACAACTGTGCATATTATTGTCTCTTTGTTGTTTGCCATGCTTCTATTAGTAATGCATTCGTAAGGCTGGATTGTTTAGAGCTGACGTGTGAAAATATGCAATTTGAGTGCAATTAGATAGAGAATAACGTGCATACATTGAGGTCATAACAAAATAATGGTGCTTAAATTTTTTGAGAACATGTAATGCTGCCATAAAGAATTATGTAAATGCACGTGTAAAACACAGAAGCATTTTCCTTCATGTTTAGTCAGCGCTGTATCCTGTCATATTGTATTAATTGCACCAAATAGCTGCGTGTCTGTTACCAACTAAAGAAAAAGGTTGTTTTCCTAATTATCTTCACATAGCAGGTTGTCAGACAGTTTTAGCTTTACCTTTACTGTCAGAACACCTACAACAAAGCTTTGTGTTAAACAAAAATGACATGAGTATAGATTCAACTTTATTGTCCCGTCAACGTAGTTACCCAAACACTGATAAGTGAGCAGAAGCGTTTCTTTACTTAATTCATCAGAAATGCTGTAAAAAAAAAAAAGAAAAAAGAAAAGAATCCTTAGCTAACTACAGTAGATAAAACAAAAATCAATGTGAGGGAAAGTTTGAAGGAATCTGTTACTTACATGCATAACAATGTCAGCTGGTGTCAAACAAACTCATCTGCTGTGCATCTGTTTATTAAAACAACTGCAGCAGTTCACACTTGCTCCACACCTAAAGTGATACAGACCCAGACAGATTTCATTCCAAGGATCTTAGAGAAAAGAAACAAGAGGGGCGTCTACAGATAAAAGGGAAGATAGTGCATGTGTGAAATGGAAAATAGACAATCAGCTGATCCTGGTGCTGTAGTTACCCAAACATAAAACAGTAAGCGGTTGTTGGCTCTTCACATTATTTGTACAGTATTTCGAACTATATGGTGAAATTGTTCAAATATTTACCAAATATGAGTGGAAAGTGATGGGAGGGAGCAGAACATTCAGGGAGGAGAAAAAGAATGAGAGCAGACCTGAGGTGTCGATGCCTTAATGGCTGCTAAACTGTAGGTCCATTTTTCAAACTTTTGTCACACACAAGAAAGCAGATAAGCAGACAAGTGAAAAGCTGTTTTGGAAACAACAGAAAAGTTCATAGTTCTAAGTCTATGCGGCACATAAATTACCAATTTGATTTTATGGCTTGCTTTGAAAACTTTTTAAAATATGTACAATGCTCTTGTCAGTAATGTTCATTCCATTTAACGGCAAAATCCTGAGTTTACTTTGACCTGCACTGTTTATTACCTCTTGAAATTAACTTTAGAGGAGGAAACAGTAAAATTAACAGAAACACAAAAAGTGTATTACATGACATCAATATGATTTTAAAATCAATATTAGAATTACATTTACAATAAAAGGGATCATGTTGGCGTAGAATGACACTAATAAGCACCTTCTCTCTCTAAACAAAGGGCCATTCCACAATTAAATGTGAAGAAATTAAACCCTCAGGCACTCAATTCACATAAAGGGAAGAGCGACTGCAAAAGATACTTAAAGTCACATCAGCTTCC